TCCATTCAGAATCGTGATGGCGGTCTGCTATATTTAGCCTATACAATGACTTGCGGTCATCAACCAATGTACATGTCACTGATTTTATCCTCACAGACGAGTCTGGTGCTAACTAACCACCCGTCCAGGAGGGATGATGGCTCAGTTAGACTGTACGGAGAACGATTCGGAACTCGATCCGCGGCTATTTCATAAACCGCCACTTGCTACTACACCACCTTCGACTATAAATTCACAAGACGGGGTACAAAGAAGAACTGTAAGTAATAAATTCACCTGAGTCTTGATACTCGTCCTGGCCGACAATATATTTCAAACCGGAATAGCAGCGAATTGCTATGACAACATTTATTATCGACAATAAAATAATGGACGATAAAGACAGGCTACGCATCGATTATAAGATCTAGAACGGAAAAGTATTATTGCGAAGAATTCAAGACATTACTACAGATCTGTTACTTACTGTATATTGTAATTACTTCATTCAATAGTCCCTCGATGAATAGCCGATTTCAGATGGAATTTGAACCTGAAATTGAGAAAATCATTCAAATAAACAGAGCTAAACAGATAGCAAATAAGACCGGGATGGTTAGAGGAAATAATCCGCTCAAAGAATTGCGCATAAGTACCTGACGCCATGGTTAAACTGGTATGCAAAACTTGTTTGACCTTCAGTAGTTAAAGGTGAAAAAGCAGCCGATTCAACACAGATTGCAGGCGATGATTGAACTTTTTTTCAGTAGATTCAAAGATCAGAGAGGAAAAGAGGTTTCAGTTCGCGAGCAATTTTATTAATATTACTCTCAATGTCCTTACCAGTACACAGTGACTTTAATGGGAATTGATTGTTCTATGATCGGCACAAAAACAGAAGAAACTTCGCACACCAGTTTTTTTAGGTATTACAACAATCATCACCTTCAAAGTTAGCGCAAAGGGTTTTTTCACGCAGCCCTTTTTGGTTTTGTTCAACATTGTTTGAGAAAATGAAATTTCAGCTCTATCGATCAAATTCTAGGATAAGCCATGCATCAGGCCACATCCGAAATCTCAAGGGTATTATTCATGGCTCGATCTCTGATTACGTCATTTTTGGTCTCAACTCCTCAGTAATACCGTAAAACAGCAGGAAAGGTCAGTGGCCAGAACTTTGAGACTAAAGAACAACTATCTTCCTCGGGAGTCGGTATTTGTGTCCAAGGGTCTGAGGACTAGGGTCAAGTTACAAGAGTTGCCGATGCATCAGTTATGTAAGCACGTATGTGAAAAAGGTGATGTCCGAGGAAAAGTAATCAATGTTCAACGTTGATCGATCGCTTAGGTGTTAAGTCAATTATCTGATACCCACTGAAAATCGAATGGCTGCTCAGTGACCAAAAAACCTTAGAATGACTGTAGCTGTTGATATAAGCCACTTGATGTTCTCAAACGAAACTCGACCGATCAGGTGATCGCAATCGAAGAGAAGGTATTTTTCCGATCCCATAAAATGTGTAAAACGACAGGTCAAGCAAAGTTGGTCGCCATCACATTGGCTAAAATATAGCCAAGTGCGTTCACCCCTTCCAAAGAAGGTCGCATGGGTCAACTCTCTCCAAATGTAGCCGCATGCACGAACGAGTAAACAGGACTTGTTTTCAATCGTTAATTATACCAAATGATTCCATTAATCACTGATTCATAAATGGACAGCAATTAATTGAACAAATGAGATGTAAATTGCATGATCCAAAAATGGTGGTGTTGAAAAGAGCAGTGACTGAAAAAGCACGGGCAGAGGTCGAAGAACATTTGACATCCTACTGTTGTTTGACGTTCCTGGCAGGGAAATGGTAACAATTGATTCAGAAGCTGTACAAGATATCACGGTAAGATAACGAGAGTTTGTTGCTTCTTTCTTGTTTTCTGCTCTTTATCCGTTATCATCATTGTAACAACGCGAGAAAAAAAATAGAAGATAAACTGTTCAACAATTAATGACCCCTTCAGGAAGAACTTCTCATTTTTCTTTTACCCAAATATCTACGATGCACCTAATTTCTTGTCCATGATCTCCCAAACAGTTCGCTCCTATTTTCTGCTATTTCTCCCTCAAGAATGCGAAAAAGTGGGGTGTAGCTGGCTCAGAGGAAATCAATCCAGAAGGGCTAGAACCTGATTCTCTCATAAAAAAAGTTAGATAAGGAGCGGTTTCTTGCAGTAATGTCGATATGAAAAGGAAAATGGCCTGTAGTTTTCTTTGATTTTTTTTCATACCTAATGCATGCGCAGAAGTAGTGCAAAGCAAGTGATTCGCTGTCTCATGTAAGATCCGCAGATCGATCCTGGAGATTCCCTTCTTCCCCACCCCCACAATCCTCTCTATAGGGTCAACTAAGCCTCCAATATCTGCCGGTTAATTGCTGGAAAAGTGATAGCCTTACATGTGAATTTGCCTTCTTAAGTCAATGTGTAGTCAAGTAGGCAGGCATAATTCTGAATGAATTGACCGCCAGACTAACGCCGAGTTTCTCAAACTATAAACATCATAAAATCATACTTATATCGTTAAATGATAATATTCGTAAAGAGAACTGATCATTCGAACCTTGCCTCATTTTTTAGTATTATTGAAATTCCTGGGACAGTTGGAGGTTTTTTAGCTCTTTTGAATCACCTTTCTCTATCGCTCATGTTCTGTCCAAAACATATAATAGTACTGAATGGTAATCAATAAAAGGAAGCATTACTTGTTGTAGATGAGAAAAGAGCAAATTATGGCTTGAAGGGAGAAGTCGTTGGCCAATGAAACAAGAGCGGGTTAGTAACGACATTACGACACAGTGGTTGTCATCGACGGAGAACAGGTTACTGGTTGACCACTGGTAGGTGCATTACTTCAAAGGCACGAAGCTAGACGAGGACTAAGAGTAGAAATGCAAGACCGTGTGGATTTTCACGATCGAACTTTAAACAGCTGAACATCGATTGGTGAAAAAGAGATTCCCAGTCTTCTTGCGTTCATTTTATAGCCATCGACTACCAGCTGACACTTGCTACAGCTGTTTCAGGAATAAAAACATTCCAATGATGTAGTGTTACTCGTTTTGACTGAACTACAAGTTTGTATTTCCATTTTTTTATATGTAATTCGACCGAACCATTCATTCACTATAAACATCTTCTTGTCACAGTACCAAATACTTCATTTTTCGGGCAGAGAGGCATGATCAATACTCGCCCAGGCCAATGGATTTATTAAACCATTCCGGGTAGGTCAGTGGGTAACAGAACGCTTTGGGGGTTAAAAGCTCTGACTGATGGCTTGTACATTGGTTGGCCTCCAGCGTCCTCGTCCAGGACCGGAAAAGCCTGCGCTATACCTATTACAGATCATCTACGGTTACAAATATCTTTACAGTTCCAAATAAAGATCACGTGTCTAGCGCATTCAAAGATTGGCCAATGCCACGAAGTCCGTTTCGGCTTAGTCAATAGATGTTATGAGGTGCTAACTTGATGAGTAGTTTGTCATTCCGTGTGGACGTAAATGGATGCTGATGATAAGGAACTTCTTTGAAGAAGCCGAGCTCTTACAAGAATGATCAAACAGTTGGGGTACCATTCCTGGCGGTACCATTTTATCATGACTAGGGCCGAGACGCATATAAAGGTGTAGCTATAAGACCTGATACGAGCTGATCTGGGACCTTTCAAAGAAAGGGCCCCGATTTTCCTTTTCACTTTGCCCATTCACCCTTGCAAATGACCTACCGTGACAGGATACATTGGTCAGCCAAAGTAGAAGTCAGTGCTTAATCTACTAGAGGGGTCTGGTAGGATTAAACCGAGCTCGGAGTGATAGAAGGCTTCCCTGTCCTGGGCGAGTATCGATCGAGATTGCATTTGGACTTTGCGTGTTATATTGCGATCTTTACCACTACACCACCTCCGCCCTGACACAGGATAAGCATTATTATATTATTAGCAATAATAATAATAATAATAATAATAATAATAATAATAATAATAATAATAATAATAATAATAATAANGATAACAATATGACGCAAGCATATAGTAAAAGGAAAAATAAAATCTCTTTGATACACCAACCGGAACATTTGCTCAAAACATTATGCCCACCAGTATACCTCAGTGTAAGCCTACCCTCAGAAAATGGTCAAATTCGTTTACTGCTTGCCTCATCAACGCTTTTGACTTCATTTCCCCTTTACGAAGACTATTTTAGGGTACGGTACATACAACTCGAAAATCTCCAGTCGCTCTTCCAATTATAGGCCTGCTGTTTTTCATGAAATGTAATTCAAATGTAACAGGACGTGTATTGCTTTCAATTTCAAAAGGACGTGTTCTTGTATCAACTTTCCTGGTTGAGTGGAGAATCTAGATTGCTACCAACACACGGAAGGAACACTAGGGTTCACTTCACACATGAAAATTATGTTGCGATCCATTTTTGCTAGCCAATATATCCAATCTGCGTACGAATTTAGCCTAAGGAGGTTTGCCGGGGAAAATGATATAGAGGGAAGTGACGCATAGTCCGTGGTTCGAATCCCGGCCACTCACCCGTCCACGTCAACCAAGCCTTCCATCCCCCGTGGTCAACTAAGTGGTATCATCTCGTCTGGGAGGATCAAAGCACTGACCTCAGTACATCGGCAAGCCACCGCAAGTCATCGTAAAGGTCACATACCCAATCAAGCCGCTACTACGTTGCTGACGGGATGTCGAATGCGGGGCGCATCCCAGGCATAGGACCGATCGGAGCCAAAGGGCTTCAAAAACTTTTGTTCAGGTTCCGAAACACCTCATAAAGGCTTTTGGCGTTTCCCAGCAGCGGTATCATTACGTTCTACCATCCGTCCTATACCGTATCCTGAACAGCAATACGTGACCCTGGGCACATGTCATGTCGATGCGACGAGTTTAATTTAAAAGGAAGTGAGGCAGTTCACCAACAAAGATGGAAGGCAATACAAGTTTTCGTCATTTTTTACACAGAAACAATAGGCCCTCATTGGAACAAACAGCGAATTCATTACTCGGCATGGATTGCAATGCCATATAACTCCCATATGGAACAGGAGCTCCTGTTGACGCTATTCTAGGTCGTTAGGGTAAAAAACGGTAAAAAAGTAACATTGAAGGGATCACTTTGCCAATCCATCGCTAGTGCGTCAGAAAAGCATTACAGAAGCTAATTCAGAAAGAATAGCGAACGATAGTAGTTCGGCGAACAGTAGATGATGGGCTTACTGGTAGCTCTCGGCGAAGGCAGTTAGATTAGTCAACTCCACTATTCGCTGCTTTTCAGCCTATTTCTCTCACAGAATGATGAATAATGTAGCTGGTCAGCTGCTTATCGGTAAGGGTTTATACTCC